TCAAATGGCTGTTGCTAGAGAGTCAGAATCACATGAAACAAAACACCATCACCCAAAGAGGCCTCCTCAGCTGAGGTCTGTGGGGACAGTCTAAGCTTAGGCAGTGGATCTGGGGTCAAATATTAATTATTAATGTGGATATGAGATAGTTACTGAACCGCTTCAGGAAAAAGAAAAACAGGCCTTACTATATTCAGTTAATAGAAAGGAGTTTTATTTATTTGGGGCCTCACATATCCCAGTGTTTCTAAAAATCCTTCCCTGGGGGAGATAAGGTCCCAATGACAAACAGGCACCATTCCATCAAAGGTCACCCTAGAAAACCAATGAGTTTATTCAGCTTCCACACATAGCATTGGTGGGGGGATATGGGCAGGAGCATATGTGACATTAAAACAGCCACACTGGAAGTCTGCACTCAGCATGGATGGTGATGCTCTCATGGCTGCACAGTTGGAGTCTCCTCCCCTAGACCATTCCTGCCTACATTACATACTCCACTCCTCCTGGAAGCCAGAATTAGGGCAGAATTACAAACAACTGATTGGTAAAGATGCCTAGCTACTCAGGTGGGAGTCCCATTCCTCCCTGTGAACCTAGGAGGGAACATCAGCAAGTTCAGCTGTGATAACCTTTCGCAAGCAAACATGGCTGATCTGATAAAGATGGAGGCTTCAAGGATAGTCCTGTACAATACCCAGGCTGGCTTCAAAGTTTCTATGGTGCCAAGGATAATCTTGAACTTTGGGTCCTGCTTTCAACTCCCAAGTGCTGGGATAACAGCTGTATGCCAGCACACCTGATTCTATGTGGTGCTGGGGAACAATCCCAGGGCTAGGTGCTGCTAGTCAAGTACTCTACTGACTGAGCTACATCCTCAGGCCCAGTCACGTATTTTTTGAAACAGGATCCCATCTTGCCCAAAGTAGTCTTGATCTCCCAACTCCTCCTGCCTTGCCTCTAGGTACTGGGATTACAAGTACATACCACCCCAAATCTTTGTAAGATTATTGGGGTGAGGTCTTCTGAGTTAGTGGGTTAGGGATGTTTTTAGAACTTTAACTGGTTGCTTTATTATATTAAGATTGTCACAACGTAGGGAATAAGGCCAGTCACAAAAGATCAAATATTTTGTATGATTCCTCTTTTATTTGCCAGATAGGCAAATTCATAAGGAAAGTAGATAGGGTGCTACACTTGGTGGCATATGCCTTTAACCCCAGCACTCAAGAGGCACAGCATGGCAAATCTTTGTGGGTACAAGGCTAACCTGGTTACATAGTGAGTTTCAGGCCAGCAGGGGCTACACAGTAAGATCCTATCTTTAAAAAAAAAAAGTTAAAAAATAATAAGAAAGTACACTGGTGGCTACCTAGGGTAAGAATTGGGGGAAATGCTGGGTATGGTGGCACACACCTTTAAACTACAGCAAGTGGAAGGCAGGGGCAGGCAGATCTATGTAAGTTTGAGGCCAGCCTGATTTACAGAGTGGGTTGCAGGGCAACCAGAGCTACATAGTGAGACCCTGGCTCAAGAAAACAAAAACAAAATAGATAATAAAAAGGATAGGGGAAAGCAAGGCAGGACTGATGATGGATATGGGGGCTCTTATTTGGGTGGCAAAAATGTCCTACAATTGCTTTGATGGCAGCACAATTCTGTGAACCTATTAAAAGCCGTTGAACTGTATACTTTAGATGAAGTGGATGGTCTTTGAAGTATATTTCAATAAAGTTGTTGAAAAGCCAATAGCTTCTTTTTAACTTACGCTGCTGAGCTCAAACTGAACCTTACACTTGCTAAGCAAGCACACTACCTCTGAGCTACATCCCCAGCCCCTGAAGCCTTATCAGTGTCTTGACACGTCACACTGTTTCTGGAAATGCTATAACCATAAAAGAAAGAAAATGGTCTGGATCATCTACTATACCATGTCGTTTTGCCTGTGTACTATAAGGAGCTAACTAGGAAATCCAATTAAGATGGGGCTGGAGAGATGGCTCAGTCATCGAGAGCACTGGCTACACTTTCAGAGAACCTGGATTGGTTGCCAGCACCCATGTCAGATGGCTGACAACCACTGGTAACTCTAGGTCCAGGAGAAGCCTCCAACCTCTGCAGGCATTTGCACTCAGGTGCCTTAGGCAGGCAAGGTGAAACAAATGCAGCACATCTTTATATAATTAAACAGATGCAGTACAAACAAATGTAACACACCTTTACATCATTAACAAAGGCAACACAAACACATGTAACACATCTTTGCCTAGTTAAGTAATATTCCACAACATCTAAGTTTCTGAAATGAGCAATGATATAAGTGGATTTAGCTAGAATTGTGGCTTATAGTAACATATTTGGATATGTCTAAGCTGGAAAGATTTCTGGATGCTGGAGAGATGGCTCAGGGCTCAGGACTGTGAGTCCTACTCTTGCTGAGGCCAGAGTTCTGTTCCCAGCACCCATATGGCAGCTTGCAACAGTTATATTAGTCTAAAGTCACAGAACTTACAGAATGAATCTCTCTTTCTCTCTCCCTCTCTCAATACATAGAATAATTTTATTGGGCTGACTTTTGTTCTGTTTTTGTCTTTGTTTGAAACAGGGTTTCTCTGTATTGTTTTTGGAGGTTGTCCTGGAACTTGCTCTGTAGACCAGGCTGCCCTCAAACTCACAGAGATCTGCCTGCCTCTGCTTCCCAAGTGCTGGGATTAAAGACGAGTGCCACCAACACTCTTATTGGTATGACTTATAGGCTTCAGTTCAACTAATCCAACAATGGCTAGCTGTGAATGGAGAGTCCAAGTATCTAATAGTTGCTTAGTTCCATGAAGCTGGGTGTCTCAGCTGGTCTTCTGTATGTGATGGATTTCCGAAGAAGTAGACATCAGTGCCAGTAAAGGAATGGATGTGCTGACAAGGCCAGGGCAAGCAGGCAAAGAACGAACCCTTCCTTCTTCTACTGTCAGAGGCTGTGGTTCAGATTAAATGTGTGTCATTCCATCTTAAGATCCAGATTAAAGGTGTGTGTCTTCCTGCTTCAAGATCCAGGGTCACAAGTGTGCCCTCCATTTCTGGATTGTAGCTCATTCCAGATATAGTCACAATGAATACCAAGAATAGCCATCACAGTTGTTAATACCAGTATCAGGGATCTGATGCCCTCTCCTGGCCTCCTTGGCACAAGTCACCCACATGGCGCACAGACATACATGCAGGCAAAACATTCATGCACATTAAATAAATATTTTTTAGAAAGTTTCATCATGGCATTTTGGTAGGAAATAGCTTAATCAAACTTTTAGTTTATTATGCTAGATTTAAGTACCAAAGATGGTTTGTTACTTATTTTTTTTGTTTTGTTTTTTAGTACAAGAGAGTGCATGGTAGGTATGCACTCTAGCTCTGAGCTATAGCCCTAGCTCTTTCTTTTCTTTCTTTCTTTCTTTCTTCCTTTTTTTTTTTTTTGAGACCCTATTCACAATAAATTAAAGAAACAAATGTTTAACAGCACTCAACATCAAAAAATTTTAAAACATCTACATATCAAGTTCCAGGCTTACATATATAAAGAGACCCTGCCTCATTTTTTTTTTAATTATAAAATAAAATGTGGGAACTGGAGAAAGAGAGTTGGCCAGTTGAGAACACTGGCTGCATCCAGAGGAAGAGTCCTATTCCTAGTACCCACATGGCCCTTCCTCCAGTTCCAGATAGATAAGACGCCCTCTCCTGGCCATCTATGGCACTACACACACAGATGCACAGGCATTCATTCATGAAAACACTCATACACATAAAATATAAAATACAAAAAGAAGAAAAGTGAACATATAAGCTATCTATTACTCCAAGCCATAGTAAATGTAATTCCCACAACTACAATAAAAACAGCCTCTCTGATACTGTCCTTTCTGGCTTCCTGCACCATAGTCTGTATTCACAGTTTTTCTGAAGCACCCGGAGACACGACTATCAGGTTAATGTCTTCAAGAACACCTCAGCTAGAAATGTTGCTGCAAATGCCTGAAAATGCCTCCCTTCAAACAGAAGGTGATCAGGAGAGGTAGCACTGCTCATGAGCTCATCTGGGGCAAGAGATCTGGTAAGACACTGTCATCTAACGAGAAGGCGCAAAGGGCTGCCATCTCCACTCAGAAGGCACTCAGGACACATCACAATCTGTCTGCCCAAAACAGAAAATAGTTTAATTTCCCAAATTTTATTAAAAGTGGACTTTGTCGTCAGATCTCTTATTGCAAAGATGAAACCTCACAACATGCCAATAAAAGTTTGCTGTAATAACAAGCTTTGAATGAATATACATTTTTGTAGTTATAGAACTTGAGAAGTTTTGTTATTAAAAATTGATATTTTCTTTATTCTGTGAGTCATAGGCAAACATTTTCCCACAAAAATCCTTAAAATGATACCTGTGGCAGAGCACATGCTTATACTCACAGAACTCAGGATGCTGCAGCAGGAGGATCGGGAGTTTAAAGCTAACCTGGGCTACATATCCAATTCCAGACTAACCTCAGAAATATAGTAATGTAAAGGTGACTTATAGATTGTTACGTGAAGGAGAGATGAAGAAGGGATGGATAGTCTGAAAAATTCTAAAAACAGTTACAAGTATACTTCTCAAAATCTTTATTGTTTGGCACTCTTTTGATGTAAAAGCTGCCATTGCTCCACCCAGACCTTCCAGGGTTCTTATTTTTCTATTTAAAAGAATGAAAGGCAACTTCCCAAACAGCCTTAGTAGTCGCATGGAAAGCTCAAACTAAAATGAAGGTTTCAAGTGTGTTCTATTACACATTCAGGAGCATTTGGTTATGGCCACGATGACTGGATATACTTTAAGCTTCTCCTTAGGTAGCTCTTTTGATTTTAGAGAGTGCTGAGCTGAACGCCTGGGAGCAGAACGTGTCTATGGGGCATTCCTTTTCAGTTGAAAGTATTTCACCATTAACAGCATCGGACACAACCAACACACCCTAAATATAGCATCAGCCCTTAGCTTTTCTTTGGCAATGGTTTCTCTGTGTATTTTGCATAAACAGAGTTATCACTCTTCTTGGGCAATGGAGGTAAAATACAACTCTTTTGTTGGTTGTTTAGGTTCATGAGAGTTAAACAAATGTGTAACCAGTGGTACAGAAGTTCAATGACAAGGTTGCTGAATTTCCATACTTCCATTCGAGAATGATCTGCATCAAGAAAAAGAAAGGTTGGCATAGATAATATTGTACTTTAGTTATTAAGAAATAAATTAAAATATGATTAAAATTTACACACAATGTGTGGAATCTTGTATGTTTTTGGGTATAACTCTTAAAACTTAAAAAAAACTTGTAGGGTTTATGAATTCATAAAGATATAGTAAAAGGAAGCCAGGCAGTGATGGTGCACACCTTTAATGCCAGACCTCAGGAGGCAAAGGCAGGCAATTCTCTGAGTTCAAGACCACCCTGGTGTACAGAGCAAGTTCCAGAATTGCCAGAACCACACAGAGAAACCCTGTCTGGGAAAACCAAAAAGACAAACAAACAAAAAAGATATAGTAAAAGGAATAACTCAATAATGAAATGATAAGCACCAAATTCGTGATTGCATTATGAGAAAAGAGAATGGGACCAGAAGAGGAAGGAGGTTTTGACTGATCCTAATTACAGTTCATATATTTAAAATCATCAGACTCAAATGGGCATGGTGATATCCCTGTAATCCCACCTGCCTGGCAGGCTGAAGCAGGAAGATTGCTAGTTTGAGGTTAGTCTAGGCTAGATAATGATTATGAGCCAGCCTTGGCAACTAATGAGATCCTGCTGTAAACTAAACATTGAAAAGGGCCGAGGATGTAGCTAAGTGGTAGAGCACCTGCCTAGCACATACGAAGTCCTAGGTCACTTCCCAGTATTGCAAAACAAAGTAAAAGGAACCCCTAACTCAAACAAGGCATTTTAAGGTTGGGTATAAGATATTATTTCATAATGAATACACAGTGCTTATTATTTATACTATATTTGAAATGTTATTTAATTAAAATTTGTTTCAAGATACGTAGTTACTGCCCACTATTGAAAACTGTTCACTGTCATTCCTGATGGTTCCCAGGAGCCAATGACTAATATTTAGAAAAAAATGGTCCAATGGAAAGAATACCTTAGAGTTGAATAGGCCTGAGTTCTGATTTTGGCTCTATCCCAACTAATTTTGTGACCTAATCATATTTACTTGCTCTGAGTCTGTCTATCTTTGTAAAACAGTAACAATACTTTAGGATTATCATGAGGGTAAACGAGAAAATCACAAAAGAACCTTCCTCTTTCCAGTACCTTCCACCACAGATTGAGTTTATTCATCATTGTTGTTCCTAGTCTAACTCAGTGTGGACCCAGATAAAGATCTGCTGGTTTGAATTGAACAAACCATTATGCACACATATAAAACTGTGTGAGTCTGTTATATATCACTATCAAGGATATCTTATCCATGATCTTAATTATCTACTAGAGTTTTAAAACATTTTTTATCACATTTATCATTGATGTGTGTGTGTGTGTGCGCGTGCGTGCGTGCGTGCGCGCGCGCCCACACACCCACGCCCATGCATATGTGCCATATTATGCATGTGTAGATCAGAGGACAAACGTGCAGAAGTTCTCTACTTCCAACATGTGTGACCCAGTATCAAACCTAGGTTTCCAGGCTTGTTAACATGAACCCTTACTCACTGAGCCATCTTTCGCACAGACCCCAGAACATATATTATTTCCTTGTCTTCCACCAATACAAGGAGCAAGTTTCCCTGAATTGGGCTTGGTTTTTATTATTGTTTGGAAGGCACCTCCACAAGCTAAGGTACAGTATATAACAGGGAAGGCTCATGCAATGAGGAAATATTCACAAGTCTTCATTTTTATGTGAAGCTTACTTTAAAACATGTGGATGCAATTAATTTTATAATGTTCTCTTTTCATACATCCCCCACAAGCACTGTTTATCCTCATTCAATTGTAAGTGTTCAATAAATGTTGAATTGAAATAACATTAAATGAAGGAATAATTTAATTTCTTTATTTCAAGTCCTAAAAATTTTTCCAGATGACAGCTCAATAATATTAGTGACAATTATGAATAAAAACGAGGACAGATGCTAGTCATGAGGACACATTAGAAATATCTGATTCATCTCACTTTATGGGTAATTCTAGACCAATAAAAATACCAACTTAAAACTTTGAGGGCACATTTGTTACCATTGATCGCTCTTTGTGCTAATTAGCTCCCTGGAAACTTTACAAAGATATATTACAGATTTCCAAAGATTACTCTAATTATCTTAATATTCCAATGTTATGAATCTAAATTAAATAAAAGCAAGGTTCATCTCAGGACACTCCTAGTACCTACCCCCAGCTAATTTTCTGAGATGAACAGCTCCCCACAGCTTGGTTCTGTGTTTCCCAAATCCTGGATGAGGGCTCAGTTCCATCAATGGCTGAGCCTCCTCCCAATGTGCAGACCTATCGCAACCATCATTAAACCAGTCACTATCTCCGTGGTGATTCAAGGACAGGAGGATGGAGAGAGAGGTTGTTCCCTTTCACAAGTCCCTGTTTTATTGTTACCAGGGACAAAAGCTGCGAACCTGTCTGGAAGGTAGTTCCTGTTTCTCTGTCATTTCCAGAGATGGATGTATTCACAGGTGCCCCTTGGTCCTCCAAGGAAGCCTCCTGCAGCGATTGGGACGTTATCATGGGCTCCACTGCCCTCTTGCGGTAGACAGGTGCCCGATCGTCACAGGTTGGCACACTGCCCACACCCACACTCGACGGCAATTCTCAAGAGGAGTCTACTTTGATTTCTTCTTTGAATCTATGAAATTATGAACATTTTGATTTGCCTTATCAAGGCTTACAGCGATTTTTAAACTGTATTTAAGTTATAAGGACTTCTGGGTAAGCCTTTGAATATGCACACGGATGTATCCAGAAAGCTTTTATAGTTGTATTTTTAGGTTCCATTTTAATCAAACTTTTAATTATACAGGGAGTTCATTATGCTGGAAACATAAGACTATAAAAAGGATGTTTTTAAATTAAACCTCAATTTGTGGATCTCTGCTTTAACCCTGGATTAATTAAGCCAAATCCTCCGGGAAGCATAGACAATTAGTAAAATCAGGCAAAGCAAAAAGAATGAAGTATTTAACTTCAGGTTCAAAAGCTGAAGTGCTTCCTTCAGCTGCCAACTAAGGCAGGACCAGCAGTATTTCTGGAATATTTTCCCTTTCCATCAGCTCCTTTAGCTTGAATTCCCTACGTCATTTTAAAACAAAAAACTGAGATTTCCCCTTCCTTCAACACTGCTCCTTTCCTGTCTGCCTCTGGGATGACAGTCAGTCAACAGTGACATATCAAATGTCCAGCCACCACCACAAAGGTCTTCTGCCTAAGTAAGAATATAGCTGAAATTTGCATGCACACTGGACAGACTTTCAGCTGTAATGCTAAGTGACTACATTTTTCTGGTTTATTACGGCTGAGGTGGAAGCTTGTTCCCAGGAGAAACAAGTTATTGTAAGCACACAGTTCAGCTCCCGTTGTGAGCACAGCTGCTGTACAATAGCACACACTTCATCACAATGTAGCCCTGGATCAGTTGTGTGCATTTTGGTCAGTGTGAATTTTTAAATAGCATTTTTATTGGTTATTTGGGAATTTCACACCATGAACCCTAGCACACTCACTTCCCATTCCTCTCAGGTCTGTCCACCCTCACCCAAAAAAGAAGAAAAAGAAAAACAAACAAACAAACAGACAAAAAAACAAGTCCAATTTGTGTTGTCATATATTCACTGGAGCATGGTTAAACTCCCACTGGCCTTAAAGAAAACAGAGTTCCCCACCCCACCCCACCCCAGAAGCCATCAGTTGTGGAGAGCTATGCTTCAGCAATCTTATCACAAGCTTAAAGAGTTCTCTTTGATGGCTTTCTGCTTAGGCTACAACTTTTTGTGGGGGTGGGGTAGGGTAGGGTAGGAGTTGTCACAGAAACTGTCTATGTCCCTCTTTCTCAACTGTGAGTCTGCTGAGAGCTACAATGACGTCTCTGGCCCATGCTGTGGCAGAGGGCATGTTGATATCTATACTGCCCCTGGAGAGCATGCTGAGGTCCATGGCACATGTTGACACTGGAGAAGACCATGCCAATGTCCAGTGATTTTTTTGCTGTCACCAGAAACTATGTGTGAACCCATGAACCATGCTCCCACTGACTAAGTGCAAGAAAGCTACTTTTGCGGTGGTATTGACTCATAGTTCACTCTGTTGTGTGGTTACTAATTACTCTTCTTCAGATTTATAATAAAAAGAAACAAGCTGAGAAAGGAAAAATACAAAATGTACAATTTGAGGAGAAAAGGAGAACAAAAAAAATGGAATGGAGTTAAATTCTGTGCTCTAGGAAATAAACACATTAAGAAATAGAATAAAGGGAGTGGTAACCTCAGGATAAGATCCCACACAGTTAAATTTTCAACTTGTGAAAACAGATTAAGGGAGAAGTTTGGAGCCCCATGTGATGGTACACATGTTTAATCTCAGCATTATAGAGAAAGAGGCGAGTGGGTCTCTAAACTTGTCTATAGATCAAATTCCAAGATGGTCAGACTTAGTCAGTGAAGGAAACAATGGGAAACAGAATGCTGGGGTCCATGTTCCAGCCTCAGCAAAAGCAGCACAACTTGGCAGCTTCAGTCATGTATTTCAGCTCTAGAGTCAAGGATAGAAGAAAGGGGTTATGGAATCTTCCTCCATGACCAAGGAAAGCCACTGAGGCCAGGCTCAAGAGAAAAAAAGTCTGTTGCAGCCAATAAAGCTTAAAGGAGTGGGAGATTTAAGGAGCATTTTGACATCAGACATGAAGATGCAGAATTTAGAGTTAGCCCAGTGTTTTTCTTTAGTCCAATATTTCCTCGTTATACTCCCTTCCCTTTGTTTTGAAACAGTAGTGTATATCTGGTTCCACTATATATTGGAAGTATATGATCTGGTTTGTTTGTTTGTTTTTTGTTTTTGTTTTTTGTTGTTGTTTTTTTTTTTTGATTTTATAGGGGATTACCGTTAAAGGGACTGCATGAATCTCAGAGGAGACTTTGAAGTTTGGACTTCAAAACATGGTTGAGTGTGACAGACTATGGGGA